TTGTAGAAAGGGGCAGCCACAAGAAATAGAGCTTTTGTACTAGGTGCAGAGCTTTCTCATGGTCATCAAAGCTGTCTTTCATGTGGATATTGTTGGACATGGACAGTAATGGCAATGTGTTGTTTTAAATACAGTATTTCAACAAGCTCAGATTTAGTACGGAAACAGGACATGGATTCCTGCTTGTTACATCTGTCTGCCTTCAGGGATTTAAAGGAGCAAAATAGTTGTACTGAAAGTTTCATGATTAAAAATGAAAAGGTGGACAGTGGAGATTGTATCTGAGAAGTTTGGCTGCACTGAACAGCCTTTGCATTAACAATTTGCCAAATGTGTTCAATTTGCTCATATTAAAACATTTTGGGGGCAAGTTTGAAGTGCTGGTCAGTAAACTATGCATCTCAAATTACAGTTTTTTGTTATTTAAATACAGTTTGTCCATTCCCTTGATTACAGAAATCATACATTAGGAATCAAAATACATTTGCTAATTATATATATACACACCAGATGCTGGGCTTGTTACTGAGGACAATTAAATGCATCGTAAGGGCTAGATCTGTGTAAAAGAAGGAACTGAATATCTTTTTCTAAACTTCTTGAAGCCACTAGATGCATAAATAAACACAGACTGCAGATTAACCAAGACCTGGTACTGTAGAATCCAGTCTCCACCCTTGATGCTAACAAAACCTCTCATACCTGGCAAAATTAAGCCAAACAGTTTCTGCAGCATGAAAAGCCAGGAAAGCTAGGGGATTTTTCAGAGGGATAATGTGTACGCAGTGAAAAGTGAATGTGATTAATCTCTACCTTGTATTACCAAGCAAAAGTTACTTCCATATGGACAGTGGGATTGAGTGCACTCTCAGCAAGTTTGCCAACACCACCAAGCTGTGTGGAGCAGTTGACATGCTGGAGAGAAAGGATCCAATCCAGAGGGACCTGGACAGGCTGGAGAGGTGAGCCTGTGCAAACCTCATGAAGTTCAACAAGGTCAAGTGCAAGGTCCTGCACATGGGCTGGGGCAAACCCAAGCACAAATACAGGCTGGGCAGAGAATGGATTAAGAACAGCCCTGGGGAGAAGGACTTGGGGTGTTGGTTGATGAGAAGCTCAACATGATTCGGCAATGTGCGCTCGCAACCCAGAAAGCCAACCATATCCTAGGCTGCATCAAAAGAAGCATGGCCAGCAGGTGGTGGTTCTGCCCCTCTACTCCACTCTGGTGAGACCCCACCCCAGAGTCCAGCTCTGGGGCCCTAAGCACAGGAAAGACCTGTTGGAGGAAGTCCAGAGGAGGGACACAAAAATGATCAGAGGGATTAACACCTCTCCTATGAGGACAGGCTGAGAGTTGGGGTGGTTCAGCCTGGAGAAGAGAAGGCTCCAGGGAGACCCTATAGCAGCCTTCCAGTACTTAAAGGGGGCCCCAGATGGGGAGGGACTCTTTATTAGGGAGTGTAGTGATAGGATGAGGGGTAACAGTTTTAAACTGGAAGAGGGTAGAATAGATATTAGGAAGAAATTCTTTGCTGTGAGGGTGGTGAGGTCCTGGAACAGGTGTCCCAGGGAAGTTGTGGAGGCCCTATCCCTGGAGGTGTTCAAGGCCAGGCTGGATGGGGCTTTGAGCAACCTGGTCTAGTGGGAGGTGTCCCTGGCCATGGCATGGGGGCTGGAACTAGATGATCTTCAAGGTCCCCTCCAACTCTGACCATTCTGTGATAGAATCCATGCCAAAAAATGACTCTTAGTCCCAGTAAACCCAGTTAACTACCAAAGACTGAATATAAAAGTTCATGAGATATTTAACAATCCACAGATGTGCAACTGGGAATAAAATAATACTAACTTTAACCTTTTAGCTTTTTTCAAAACATGGAGTTGGTTCTTACACTGAAGCTGGCACCTGCTTAATGCCATGCTATGCATTGTGTAAGCTCTGTGTAACTGTCTTCTCTCATCTGCACAGCCATGAGTGATTCTGTGTAGTTCACAGTATCTCACAGCACATACTCAAGCAGTTTCAACAGTGTGGGCACCTGTACTGTGTGAGAAAGTATTAGTAGTTTTCAAATGCCGTTGTCATCAGGTCTGTTAGAATATATAACAGAAAGCACCTTTTTCTTTGTTTTATGTGTTTGAGTTAAAAAGAGGGTTGATCTTCCTAGGTTTGGGATGGTGTTTAAATTTCTTTGTTTCTACCTTTTAAAAGAAACAAACCATAAACTACCAACTCACTCTCTTACCATAGAAATTCCTTTTCTGCATGGCGTGTCCTTGAATTGTATTTTCCAATTTCACAATGTATGAAACAGACATTATAAAAAAACCCAAACATTTCCAACGACCAGCTGAGAACCTCTCATAAATGTATTCTTGGTTATATTTTTTATTCTTAAACCAAGCAGGTGCAAAATGCTTTATGATGTTTTCTGTTTAAACTATTTTTAACTGCATTTGGAATGTGAATGGAAGGATGATGATTAATAAACATCAGTGAATTTTATTAGCACAGGGGGCTGCTAAGGAAAGGCACAGTTTTACTTCCCATGGACCTTTGTGAAAACTATTATCCTAATACAGACATAGTTAGCGAATTAGTAATGAAGTTGTAAGTGTCAGTGAGACCCTCCCTGGTAGGCATATCAGGCCTGAAACAGGAATGGTGTGTTACTGTTGTGTGCAGTACCCATGAAACCAGGAACTTGCTTTCCTTCATGCTACAGGGTGTTCCTCCCATAGGTGAAACAGTAGTGGGCTCGCAGAAGGGTAGGAACTGATTGACTGGACAAAACCACAGCCCTGTTCAGGGAAAGGGGGCGAAATTGGGCTGTGAGCCAATAAGAGCTCCTCTCTTGTGCAGGTACCTTAAGGCTTTCTAGCATTATTTGAACAAATTTCTTTGACTGTTGTCTGTGGAGGGAATGAAGCAGAGTTTTAGAACATTCCTGTTGACAGAGCAGTTTTCTTTCACCAAAACAAGTTTTTGAGCTACTAGCTGTATGGTGTATTGCTATAGTCCAACCACAGAGTTCAGTTGCAGACTCATGCATGTACGACTTAAGCAAACAAACTCAAAAGGCATTTAACTGCTGCATTTCTAAGCCTAGCTGAGCTGGCACCTGTCTGCTCCAGCATGGGTTTGGGTAGACCATGCAGCCAAGCTGAATTACAGCTCCATCTGAGGATGATTCCCTGTCAAAACGAGAAACTAGGTGGACAGTTTGCTGGAGTTTGTAGAACTGTCTTGCCCACGAGTGTTGTGATGCAGTAATGCTTGAGTGCTCAAGTTTTGGGCAGTATGTGGTTGAGCAGAGTGTTATCAGCAAAATAAGTGATCCTGCATGAAGTTCTGTGCTTGACTGTGTTGCTCTTGGTACCAAAGCTTCCATTGCACTTCTCTGTCTTAAAGTCTGTGTTGAAAGCAGGATTAAACAAGGTTGTTAAGCTTACCTGGAAGTTTGCTGGAGCCCAAAATTTCCTAAATATTTTTGTTTTCCTCCTTAATATAGCAGGATTTATAGCTTGTTAAGTATGGATTCTTTATTTTGAGGGTTTAGGGACTTTTTCTTCCTCTGAAAGATGGTAATTTAGGGTCTGAGGTTCTCTGTTCTCTGCCTGAACCACACCAGCCATAGAAGACATTGCAGTAATGTAAACTACAAAACTTTTATGGATCATTCTGGGTCAAATGTGGCCCTTGTATTTCAGCACGTTCATTCTGTGATCTTTACTACTAAGATGTTCTTTACTTACTAAGACGTTTAGCCATGCCATCTAATAATTCTTGTGATAGTTAGGATTTTACAAAGTACATAGTTACTAGAAATTCAGCTGAGACTGCTAACTACTTTTCATATAACCTGTTGACTTTTCTGCAGGTGAAATGGCTTAGTAATTGCTAACCAAAGAGAGATTTTTACAGCCTACCTGAAGTGCTGCTTAGCCTTTTTAGCTCTGTCTTGGTTTCCACAGGTGTGAGTCCTCCCAGTTTCACATTTGTAATGTGAGGTTTACCAAGCTATTTGGCTTTTTTTTCCTAACACAAACAAAAAAATCTATTCATGTGCACAAATAATCATAAGGTGGTTGTATGTTATCTCCATTGATTCCTAAACCAATTTCACCCAAGGACACATTTCACTTTAGTAGAAATCTTTATTGATATACTGGATAGTACTTGTTGTAGAAAAACTTACACGATCAGGAAAGAATGAAGTAGGTTTTTATGCAAATAACTTCTCTGAAGCTAAAGAGAAATGCTGAAGTACTCCCTTAGTAGCCCAAAGCTCTTTGTAGTAGCCCAAAGACAGCTTCCAACACATTCGTCTTTTTGTTCGTAAAGTGAGGTATTCTGTCTTCTGGCTTTGAATCCAGGGGCAGGAATTGCTTTAGTGTTACCTTAAATGTATTCGTGCTAGATGCCACTCCTCTGCTCCTCACCTTGGGAATGCTAAATTAATTCCATCTTGGAGAGTGTTCAGACCACTGAAACTGCACACTTGACCCAGCTTGTGAAATGAATCATAGGGTCAAGTATGGGTAAAAGAATATTTTTGTGATCACTCCTTGCCAACAGACAAACAAATCTGTGAGGAAAAAAAAACCCTAACCTGTTATAACTGGTGGTTATACTGGTTTGTTTTGAATTTGCATTTGTCTGTAGTATCTATAAGTATACGTGCGTAAGTGCAAAGAAGTTGGAAACCTTTTATTACAATCCTTGTGTTGGAGATAGGGTTGAAAACATGAACATTTGGGACACCCAGATAGTGAAAATGTTTTAGTGTGTGTATTGACTGTAAGTGTATGTTTTATTGGGAGTATATCCATTGGAAAATCAAAGTTAGGAGAACTAATCTGCAGAATGTAATTTTACTGTATATTTCTGTCTCTAAGGGTCAAAGCATACATATTCCATCTGCCCTATAGGTTGTCACTTGGCAAAACTGAATACTGATTCTTGGCAAAATTGAGCATTCCTTTATTCTCTGCAGGGGCGGGCTAGCTGAGAGGTTATGTCGACTGCAGAACAGAGAAAGATCTGCCATTAGCTTTTGGAGGCATCAGTGTATTTCAGATGCTAAAATCCCCTCAGGTAAGAAGCATTATACATATACCGCTGTGTGAAAGTATATACTTAGATGTGTGTATATATGTCCCATATAGGGGTACAACTGAAGTTTATATTCTCTGTGTTTGTTGCCTGACTTGGGTTTAATGCTCTCTTGATTGTCTTCTGAACTCATATCGCATTTTAGCTAAATATAGAATCATAGAATCGCTGAGGTTGGAGGGGACCTTCAAGATCATCAAGTCCAACCGTCACCCTGCCCTGACAAAACCACTTCTAAACCATGTCCCGAAGCACCACATCTACCCTTTTTTTAAAACACCTCCAGGGATGGCAAATCCACCACCTCCCTGGGCAGCCTATTCCAATGTTTAATAACCCTTTCAGTGAAAAAAAAAAAAATTCCTAATATCCAATCTAAACCTCCCCTGACATAACTTGAACCCATTTCCTCTCATCCTATCACTTGTCACCAGGGAGAAGAGGTCAGCCCCCACCTCTCTACAACCTCCTTTCAGGTAGTTGTAGAGGGTGATAAGGTCTCTCCCCTCAGCCTCCTCTTCTCCAGGCTGAACAACCCCCGTTCCCTCAGTTGTTCCTCATAAAGCTTGTCCTCCAGACCCCTCACCAGCTTTGTAGCCCTTCTCTGGACATGCTCCAACACCTCCATGTCCTTCTTGTAGTGAGGGGCCCAAAACTGAACACAGTACTCGAGGTGGGGCCTCACTAGTGCCGAGTACAGGGGGATGATCACTTCCCTAGTCCTGCTCACCACACTATTCCTGATACAGGCTAGGATGCCGTTGGCCTTCTTGGCCACCTGGGCACACTGCTGGCTCATATTCAGCCGGCTGTCCACCAACACCCCCAGGTCCTTTTCTGCCGGGCAGCTTTCCAGCAGCTCTTCCCCAATCCTGTAGTGCTGCATGGGGTTGTTGTGATGGCTTATAACGTCTGTCATCAAAGTGTTTGAAAGTAAGGGGTAAAGAACTTGTTTTAAATAGCCTCCATCTAGACTCTTCACAACTCCTTGATTTCCAGCATCACCTGGAAAAACGGTCTTTCCAGCAGGCTGTTGGAGAAGTCAAGGTTTAATTTATGGGTGTGCAGATGGGTTTTTGGTTCTTGTTGCTTCTTTATAACCACCTTTTCCTCTTTCTTTGTTCATTTTTCTTTGGTTTGAAGTCAGCTGTATTCATCTATAAGTGCTGAAATTGTGGATGAGAGCAAAAATGAATAAATAGAACACAACTGTGAAATGGGTGTGAAGCATGACTACAGTGAGCATTTCACTTAAAAAGAAGGGGAGAGAGTTATGCAAATCAGTTACAAGTGACTGAAAACACCTTTCAGTAGTATTTCTTGAGAGAGAGAATGCATTCATAGAGTTTAAGTGTAAAGAAATGGTTAGGTTTTTTTATCAACTTGTGTGTGACTGTAAGCTAGCATTTTTGCTCTATTATGCTGACTGGTTGTTTCTGAGCACATATTAACTTCCGTTTATTTTTCAGAAAGTCCTCTGGTCTTAATTTGAAAACATGCGGATGAGGGAATCTATTACTTGCCTTGAGAGTTTGTCCTTAATTCCACTCCCAAATTTTTAAAAGTGGGTTTTCTTCCAAATCTCAGTTTGCCTGGCTTCAGTTCCCCTCTTTTGTTTCTTGTAAAGCCTTTCTCCATTAGATTAAAAAGCTCTTTAGTATGTGGCATTTTCCCTCTCTGGCACTTGCATAGCAAAATCACGTTGCCTCAAAATTTTCATAAACTAAACACACTGAGCTCTTTAGGGCTCTCTAAACCATTTTCTCCAGCCTTCAAGTGATTTGCATGGCTTTTTACTGCACCTTCTCAAACTTTTCAGCATGGTCTTAAAAACAAGAACAGCTACTCTGTATGTATTCTTCCAGTTTTAGTCTCATCAAAACCATTGGCCAGGTCCGGTTCACTACTCGGCCTCCTGTATGTTCAAGGCCTTTAATAAGTGTGTGCGTCTGGTTTGGCTTTGGTCACAGTGTGATGGTGGAACTTCATATTCAATTGATTGTCCAGTATGATTTCATAACTTCAGCTGTTGTTTTCTGAGATCCAGTTTCCCAGTCTCCACCTACCATTTGTGTTTCTTCTGCCTAAACACAGGGAAGTATTTGTGTGCTGTATCCAGGTCTGCTTCATTTGAGTATGCTCAGCTAGCCATGCAGTTCAGATCATTGTGTATGTCAAGCCTGTCCCCTTTTAGTCACAAATTTGATTGAATTTGTGGTATCCACACAATTTCTTATATTATTTTTTAACTTGGTTTTGTGTCATTGATGAAACCATTTAATAGTGTGAGTGTCTACATTCAAGTCCTACTGGAACTGCTCTGACTCAGTTATGATTCTTAACTGTTAAAAACCTCTAACTGTAATTCACAGATAGTTCTCTGAAATATTTTTTTGCATTCCACTTAAAGGGTACATTACTGATGGTGAAAATGGCCTTTTTTCATAGGAAAGTTATACAATTTTTAGCCAACAGTTTGGGTTTGACTTAAGCTAGTCTCACAGTTTCTCGCTGGAGGTTTAGAGGGCTTACATCCCATGCCACTTGCATGCTACGTGTACAAAATGTCACCCATAAGGAAAGGCACAAGTTATATTTCTGACCTTAGTTCCTTACTTATTTTTCCAGTCAGTTTGCTTAGATCTGATGTCGGCTAGCTGGTCTCCAGTTATTGTAGGTCACTTTGTTTGCCCTTCCTGCATACTAGCACAGTATCATCATCCTTTCAGTCTTCTGGAATTTCCCCAGTATTTGAAGATTCACTAGAAAGTAACATCAGGGAACCAGAAATGTCTTTCGCCAACTCTTTTCAGAACTACTATGCCGAAAATTATACAGGCATGCTTACTTAAAACCAATCAAGTCTTCTGCATGTTGTTTATCCTCCACCTGACTGACTAATGAATAGGAGGTTACTTTATCATTCTTACATGGTATGAGGACATCCTCTCACTTCTTCTGAAATACGGAACAGAAATTGATATCGACTAGGTCTGTCTTTTTATTAAAATGAAAATTTTTAGTGTTCTCTGTAGCAATGGATCTGCAACATTGCTAATATGCTAATATTCTTTTTGTCCTAGCTTTACACGTGTCATTACAAAACCTTGTGTTTGGCTGCTCACCAGTTTATTAGACTTTAACTCCTAGGCTGAAACATTCCATGCTAAACCTCTGCCTCTGGCTGAATTCCTTTCTTTGATTATTCTGCTTTCTTTCAGAAAATGAGTCAGAATTAGTTAGTGTTTTATGAGAAAAAGGCTATGGGAAAATACCTTGCTCTATTCTAAAGTACATTTAAAAAATTCTTATGAGTGTCTTCAAAATGATTTAGTTTTGGCAGAAGATGAGCCATTTCTGGGATATGCCTTTTGTCTTCATGGTGAAAATCTACAAGAACTTGGGCAAGTTAGAAGTCTTTAGGACAAACTAGTGTTTCGTTTACCATGCGAGCATTTGCTAAAATATCTGAAAGATGCTGAACATGCCATAATTTAGGAATATACTTCAACTTCACAGCCTAAATTTCACTTCCAGTTCCCAATCCTTATTCCAAAGCATGAGGATGATAAAATGATCAGTAAAATAGCTGTGATAATATTTTGGGGATATTTTTTCATTTAGGGCAAAATTTATTTTTGATAGTATTTTTCTTAGAATGGCCATGCTGTTTCACATCACCAAAATAAAATTGGTGTTTGGTTTGGAAAATGTCAGTCGGAATGGTTGACATTTTAGTAATGTAACTAGATAACTTTCTAATTGCTTGTAGTCTGGAAATGTGAAGTGTCAGCAAAGCAAATGCATACCACTTTCAGCTTTCATCTTTTTAGGTTCATGTTAAGGGTGTCTCACTAATCTGAGATTCTTCTTGGATTTTGTTTCCCCTCTGTTTTGCCCAGTAATATTTCTCAACCACACTGCTTCCAGGACAGTTTCTGACTTTGGCAACAGAAGTAGAGGAAAGAACTTCTCAAATGACAAACTCAAATGTGTTATCAAAGGAGCTTGAAGATGAATGCAGAGGACTGAAGTAACTTAGTTGCTGTTGGGAGAGCTGTCACGTCATTTGGATATCCCAGAGACACGCAGACCAGAAGTTCATTGTTAAGGCAAAGGGGAGCAATTTCAAATGAGATGAGTTTGAAGTCCCATTAGGCATTTCATGTTACAGAATTTGTTTTGCTGTTGTTTACTTTTATGTTGTATCAACATCCACGTTATCCAAAAACCCATTGTTTTGGCTTTATTTTTTAAAAATTCCTTTCTGTTTGCTCCCCTGACCCCTTTCTGTAAGTAACCATTGTGGTTTGGCTGCCTCTTGGTCACTGGGATGAATCACTACCCAAGAAAAGAGCGCCTCCTTTCAGCACACACTTTCTGGTTTTTATACTGTGCATGGGGGTCTCACTTTTTGGCTGATTCACTCCTCAGGATAGAAGAAATCTGTGTGCTTTCTCCGTTTTGGCAATTTTGGGTCAAAATGGTGTTTGGCAGCCTGTCCCTGTGTTGGGATAGGCACTCACTAAGGATGTGCATTTTTGCACGGTGATTTGTAGTTCCACTTCTGTAATCAAGCTAATCATTTCAGACAGAGGCGTGAAAGGAGAGACGACCAAAGCTTGCCCATGCTACACAGGGTTGGTTGAATGCTTGCTGTGGTTTAGTTCTAATGGAGCAACAGTGTCCAATCTTGTCTAACAGCAAATGTCCAATCAGTCAAGCTGATGGTTTGAAAGTACTATGTGCAAGGGCTTTTAGACCATTTGCAAGCTTTTTTTTTCCTGTATGCAGTGCTGCAACTTCCCTGTGAAGTTTCCTGTTTGGGCAAAGAGGGGATCTGGACAGTTGAAAGAGAAGAGAGGGGAAAAAAACAAACAAACAAACAAAAAACCAACAAAAAACCCAACAAAACCCAACCCTTTTTCCTGTCAACATCTGCTGTTTATATGGGGATTGCATGATGCAGAAGAAAAAATAGTGCTTTTCTGAGTTACATTCAGATGACTTTCCTGTCTATAGGAAAGGACACTAACAATACTTGAAGCAAAGTCATGTAGATTCCTTCCATAGTTTCTGAAACTTTATTTTCTGTATGTTTTATTTTCCATTGTTTTTCTTTTTCTTGCAGTTATCATCAGTTTCGGGTAAAGCAGTTCTTTACCTAAAACACAGAAGCATATTATTCTCTTGCATTTGTAATCTGATACAAGATATTTGGTATTTTTGTTGGCCTGAGATTAAGATTTGAGATTGGATTAAAATTGAATTTGAGTAATAAACTGATAACAAACCCAAACTATTGATGTTTAGTTCTAAAGTGTTCCTTCCTCAGGGGGAAGTGACCTTCACGGGGCAACAATTCTTCATTTTGCTGAGGCAAGTAGAACATACACATGAGGGGAGAAGGGTGAAGCCCTGGAGATGAGGACAGGGTTTCACACATAACACCATGGTTTTGGGAAGGCTGAAAGGCTTA